TGTAGTATATGAGTACGAATTTTTAGATTTGCTATAATAAATCGAATATAGTACAGTGTTCTAATTATTCTTTAATTTTTTTCACGTTTTCAAATGTAGGCAACACAACCTTTTGTTTATCTCTGTTTGGTGTTATTTTTTATTAGAATTTCTGTAAAACTGCTAATTAACTTCCCGTAGGGCAAGTTATATTAATCGAAATAAAAAATCGAAAATGAAAATTTTTATATACCTTTACGTTTCAAAACTTTTTGAACATTTTGGCATACCTTAGAAAAAATTGATGTATGTGTGTGTGTACGTGTGTGTGTGTGCATGTATGTACGTCTGTGCGGATACAAATTTTCGTCGACGATTTTGGGAACACTGATAAAGCGATTTGAATTCAATAAACATTCGATTCGTATTGATAAGGAGACGTTCTGATTAGTTTTTGGCGAAGGCAGGTCTATCCGTTCCGAAGGATATGAGGCAAAAAGTGCCAAAAACGGTAACTCAGTTTTTAAGAGAACGGAGTATCCGATTTAAATAATTCAAAAAACATTTTACTTGTATTAATAAGATGAACAACTGATCAAATTTTCATGAAGGCAGGTGTAGCGGTTTCGGAGATCTAGTAAAAAAGGTAAAAAAATGCAATTTGGCGGTCAAAAATGATCATTAGGCATATGTACATCAAATTATCAGATATTTTATGAAGATTTTAACAATAAGTATAAATTTTGTTTACACTAGGGGTTCCGTATCAATGATCAACCGTTAGACGGCGATGCGGCGGTTACGTTTTTCGATATTTCGTTTCTATGCAGTTAAATCAGTCTTTGAAAAAAAGTTCAGAATTTCCAGTATATTTCAAAATAATTTTTTTTCAAAGTCTTTTTTTCAAAAATAAGTATATATTTGTCAAAAATTTATAGTTTCTGAAAAATCTATTTTTTTCAGAGTAAACTTTTTTAAAAAATGTTAATCTTAAAAAAAAAATGGTACGGGTCGTTGCAGCAATTTGCCTTAAGATGCCTCATCAGGTTATTTCAACTTGGCACATCAGTAGGTTATACCTCATCAGGTTATTTGAACTTGGCATATCTTGCTATCTTTATTCGGAAGTCAATATTGCTAATGTTCAAATCTAATATTATATGATTGAACTCTGGATCTATTGAGTGAATCAAAAATGCCTGATTGCAAATCTGAACCTCCAAAAGCTGACAACAATTCGAACAACGTTACAGATATCATTAGTTCGCATCATTAAAGAAGTACCGTATTGCATTTGCATAGAAGATCAACATGTACCCACACAAAGTGATCTGTACCGAAAAAAAAATAGTTTTCAGAGTACCGATACCTAACCGATACACGTCGATAATATAAACACGAAAAGAAAATTATACGTTAGACAGATTCATCAGCATCGTATCGGGCAGAGTATTCAAGTATTGAGTGATATGGCCCCAGGTCAGACTATACATCACGGATGGCTTTTGTGAGATCGCACGAATTTTGTATCTATCCGAAGAAAGAATGAACTGTACTGATTTGGACTACTTGTGTAGAAAATAGTGTATTGAATAGACGGGTAGCTGGGACCAGAAACAGAACAATATCAGGACAGAAGAAAAAGTAGCTAGTTATCACAAAATTTGAAAGTAAAAGATTAATACAAAGGTGGGTTTATACTGTTTTATATTTATGATATGGTTATTAGAATTAATGAACTAAATAGATAATAATAAAATAGTATGGCATCGTGCCTTGAGACAAATTGCTGGAACTTCCTTGCCTTAATGAAATATTCGAGGAATATTCAATGTTTTCAAAAAGATTACTAGAAATAATGTAACTTTCATTATTCTTATTGATCAATCGAATTTAAAATGAAGAATATTGACTAATATTTATAATTATTAATATAAACTGGATTGCAAAGTTAAAATTATTTTTTGCAGTATAAAAGTGATGTTAAGAACTTTTGTTAGAATTAGAATTAAAATCTGAAACATTTTTTGAATTTAAAAAAAAATTGTTTAAATTTAAAAAAGAAAATCACAAAAAAAATTCTTTCCTCAAAAGAAATCGTTTCGTCGGCACAAGCACAAGAATGTTTTAAATCTGTTATTTTTTGCACTTTTAGCCCTGTATCTCCGAAGCGGCTAGACCTGCCTTTGCCAAAATTTAACCACCACTCTCTTGATCATTACGAATCGAAATGTTTTTGGATCATTCAAATCGGTTGATCCGTTCTCATAAAAACTGACATTTTTAGCTATTTTTGCTCCATATATCTGAAGGCGCTGGACATGTCTTCTTCAAAAACAAATCTAAATTGAAACATTTGAACAATTCAAATCGTTTAATCCGTACGCCCAGAATCGTCGATGAAAAATTGTCTCCACACATACACACACATCCATTTTTTCTGAGTCAAAATTTTCATTTTCATTTTCCAAAATTTGTAGTTGAACACGAAATTTGTATCTACCGAAAGAAAGAATGTACTTATTTGAATTTGATGAAGGATATAATGTATTGAATGGCAATATGGATAAATCAAATTAGTAAAAAAATCAGAAAATAATTATGGAGAAAATCCCTATATGGTAGCAACTAAGTTGATTAAATAAAAAAAAACAATGTAAATTTAAAGAAATCATAGTACACTGAAAGGATGATCTCTACTCAAGATCACTATTTTTATATACCTACTATAAATTCAGGTGCATTAAACGATTGGGTGGCTAGTTTACTGAAAGTTCAAATTATTTAAAAAACAGAACGAAAAAATTATAATGTGTACTAAAGTATCGTTTAAACAAAAATCATTTAGTAATTTAAATTAAAAATCAATATTAAATATGAAGAATAACTTGTACTGATTTTAAATAGTTGTATAATCTATAAAAACTACTAAATGTATTAGATTAGGTTCCAAAAATAGATCATAATCAGAAAAGTTATAATGACCAATGTATAAATCTCCTCTGCTAATTCAATAAATTACAAATGTAATAACCTAGACATACTAATTTAGTGCATATTGTTAGTGTAGTCTTACATCCGTAAATGCAAAATTATTTTTATTTTGTGAATACATTTTAAGACTTTCTTGATATATGGTCCATTCTTATAAATTTTTATCTTCGTCAAAAATTACGTTTTTCGATTTGAATTTGTCACAAATATTCTTTTGGTGATAATTTACGCCAAATATTTTAAAAGCTCAAAATTATATTCACTTTTCATTTTTGAGCAAAATAATATCAAAAAACAAGTATAACATCAATATAAAATATCTTGTCTCTCTATTGTTTTAGAAAATTTTGTTATCTCATTAGTCAACTGTAGTATTATGGAAATTAATAATTATGCTCGTGATGATTTTTAAAAAAATATGATTATTTAATTAATAATTAAAATATCTAGTGAATAAGTTATCCAATAATCAGGCTACTAGAGCCTTCTCTATCAAATCCGGTTTATTTTTTCCGTTGATCATTTCGTCGTGATATATGAGAGCGGGTCAGGTTGATATGATTTGGATGTTAAATGAATCTAAAAATGATCTGAATAATAATGTTGCATTAAAAATTCCTACCGTTACATTTTAGAGAATGCTTATAATATATTAACAAACTACAATTGCATTAAGTACCCATATTTAATGGTATTCAGCAGGACATATAAATAAGTCGTAAACGCGTTCACAAAATTATTAAGAGAAGTTCAATTATAATTATAATAATGATAATTTTATCTACCGAATTAAAAAACGAATATAATAGCATAGAAGTAAAATATTTAAAATACCCGATAATAAATAGTTTCATAAGCGAAACTAATATAGGCGAGCTAGAAGCTGATTGTATCAATTTTTTTTTCAAATTAATATATCTTGTTAGATCCACTGATTATATTTCTACAAAATAAAGCTAGATATATGTTTAACTATTCCTCAACCAAATGCAAGTAAAAACAATTCCTTAACTATTGTTTAGTATTTCACAATTACTCATTTTCTAGAAAAAGTGCAGTATTACATCTTACCCCTTTGGGACTAGTTGTAATATATACAACGGCAAGTAGTAATGCCAAAAAACTCAATAGTGCTACTGATAATTTATTGTTTTTCTTTTTAAAAAAATTGACTTGTTTTTATGTAATTTCTTTCATAAAGCAACGCTAACTATAATTAATACAAATAAAATAAATAATGTCTTCTGTAAGATAAATTTTTATCACAAAACAAAATAAAAATATTTGATACGATATCGAACAAAAAATTATAGGTAACTTATTTATGTAGCTTTAAAATGTAATAATGTTTTAATATCATCAAAAAACTTAGAAAGCCATTACATAAAACTAAATTGTAACTAAAGATTGAAAGTTATTATCCGTCCATAAATATATTAATAGTCCCTGCAAAAGTAAAAGTTCAAATATGCAAGAAATAAAAATAGAGTCATTAATATAAAATTCATTTATTTTCAATAGATTTCTCGAAACATATAGCTATTTCATCTTTCTCATAATTATCTTATCAATATATATTATAATTGTACATTATATATTTAGGTGGTATAGTAAAAATTTCATATAAAATATATTAAGTATTTTTATTACAATATAAGGCACCTTGAGATGGCATGTGTTTGAAGTTTTCGTATAAAAATTATAATACTTATTTAAATGCTATGACTAGTAATACATTTGTCAGAAAAATAAATTAAGCATCGTTTTTCATTCACACACAGAATATAAACAAACATACATTCACACAAACAATGTTTTTATATACAAAGGGTATAATTACATATATACATAGGTGGTTGAGATTCAGTTTTGTACTTAAGGAATAAATTGCGAATAGCTTCTATAACCGATTGGTAAAATTAGGAATTATTAATTAATTTCAATTTCAATATCATTTTATTTCATCGTAGTTAGCAATCGGTTATAAAAGCTCGACACAATATACCCGTAATGTGGATTCCAGTCCTTTAATATCCTTCACTTTTAATATTTAATTTAAGATCTTCAACATAATTGGTTCGTATATGTTCTTGCAACATATCTTTCATGTGTCCATTTCCAGGACATCCTCCATCTATATGTTTGCTCAACAAGGACATCCTCGAGAACGTTTTGCTGCAAGATGTACAATGGTATTTCTTAACATCTGAATGAGTTTGCAAATGCGCCCTCAAGTTACTTCTATCAGCAAAAGCTCTGTGGCAATGTTGGCAACTGAAAGGTTTTTCACCAGTATGTGTCCTGATATGTCCTTGGAGCAACCATGGTCTTGAAAAAGCTTTACCGCACAAATGGCACTTGCAAGGCAACGTGTGTGTTCTGATGTGCATTTTTAAGGCACCTAATGAAACGTATTCTTTGTCGCAATATTTGCAGGAGAAAGATTTCTTGGCTTGGCTGGTTTCTGATGCAGCGCAATGGAACTGCTGATGTTTCGATAAACCGGAGTACGTGGAGTAAGATTTTCCACAATCCGGACATTGGTATCTAGCAGTTTCATTTGCTGGATTTTGTTTCTTCTTCCTCTGCACTGTTGAGGTCAAATCTTGAGGAATCATTGCTGGTTGAGGTGAGTGTGAGGATATTGATGAAGTCGGTGACAGGGATGCAGGTGATACAGGCACTTCTTGGTAAGGTGAGTATCTGACTTTGGGTTGTTTAACATAAATTGCACCAGGAGGAGAACACGAACTTTCACGGGTTGTGTACGGTGACAATTGTTCGCTGGATCTGGCCGGTGATGGTGGGAATTCGGCTGGATATCCTTCATAGTGTAAAGGTAGATAGTTGGGGTATTGTGGAAGCAAGTTCCATTGCCATTGAGGTGGGTAGATATCCAAAGGTGTGTTGAAGTTCAATGGTTCTAAGGGTCGGTGATGAACAGGCGGGTAGTAATAAGAAGGCGCTTCACGTACAGGCACTGGTTTGGTTGGATATTTTCCTGTTCGGGATAAATCCTCAGGCTTTGTACTGAGATTCTCAGGTTCGGTATTGTCTTCAACATCTGTAATAAAAAGATAAAATTGATTAGATTTTGTAACATTAAAACATACAATAAATATCGCATTGCAAATATAAAACGTCGTAAAATTATTTGAGATTTTGCCACATTTACAAAAAATAATATATATTAAAAACTGATTAAGTATTAGGCCATACATAATGTCATTAAAATTAAATATTTTTTTATGTATTCAATAAATAAAAATAGTTTAAATTAAAAATTAAATTACTAAATTATAATTTTAATAATATTAATATAATATAACGAATTGCAAAAAATACATTATGAAAATATTTTCTACGACAAAAGTTAAATTAGCACTATCGTAAATATTTCTTCAGTTTTATCAAACACTCCGAAACAAAATAATTCAAATACTATTGTTATAAAAAATGTTGAATATTTCTCAAATCACCAAGCATAATTCAAATATAAATGCAAATACCAATTATTTACTTTTGGCCTTGATATTGAAATTCATAAAATTTATCATCGATTCGTTTACATTAGAAAAGTCTTATAGCAAACAGTTTTTTAGAATGCTAAACCATGAAGGTAAAACGATTATCTTTTTATCAGGATTTGGATAAAACTGGTAAGATAAGTGGAGGAAAGCGGAAAATGTCTCACGGTGAAGTACTTTTTGTTTGTTTTGCACTTATAAAAATTGATAATGAAATTCTAAAAGCAAATAAAGTTGAACTTGATACAAATGAAGAAATAAAATCGTATGTGCAAAATATTTAAAAATTGAAAAAATAATACAATAGTAAAAATGCAATCATATGATAATTACCTGATTTGGCTTCAGTCCAAATTTCTTCCTGCTGGTACATAATTGGCCGTTTTTTCAACGGACAATTGCTATAATTTTTCTGCACAATATCTCCAGACATTTTCGTGTTATTCTCGAGCAACATTTACACCACTTCAATAACAAATTTCACAAATAATTAAAAATCCAATCTCGTCGTTTTTGCACATTAACACATATGGCACACAAGTTTGTTTAGATGCACTGCACATAAACAAAACAATAAAAAATAAAGTCTGTTGGCACAAAATAAATAATTTCCATATACACCCTCGCTCTTCAGAAGCCGAATTCGGAATGATCTTAATGCTCTGTCTGTCCCTGCTCAAATATACTCCATCCCCACCAGTCGGTCGACTGGAGACACCTGGCATGAATGAGTCGAGCACGTGCCGAGCGACCAATCCCGGGGACGGAGTACCTGAGTTTTAGGCCAATGCGGGCCCCAAAGAGGTGGAGCCCGAGATAAAACAGTTATTCGAGAGTGGGGACCAACAGGTGCTCCGAAGAGATCGCGATGCTCAGGAGGAATCAGTGAGTGCGGTACGGTACCGGTAATGGTGCGTACCGTACTGGTTTTAGAGAAAAGAAAGGTGATATAGGGGAAAATTGAGTGGATTTGGACTTCGTCAATTATAATATATTCAAAGGACATTTGTTATAAATTGGTGTATTACGTGAATCTCGGTATAATTTGAAACAAGCTGTATATTTCGACTGCATATTTTTCAAATTTTATATGTATAAATAATATATATAAAAAATACCATATATTAAAAACTGATAAAAAACTTATTAAATATTAAGTCGTACATAATGTCATTGATATTAAATATTATTTAAATATGCAATGATTAAAAATTGTTTAAATTAATTTTTTTTTAATTACTAAATAATTTTAATAATTTTTATATAATAACAGTTTACAAAAAAAACATTATGAAGAATATTTTCTACGACAAAGGTTAAATTAGCACTATTGTAAATATTTCTATTTTTGTAAAAAAAATGTTGAATATTTCTCGAAATTTAACTTAGTTGAATATTTCTTCTACGACATTGGCTTAACGTCATTTTATTACCGCTTTTATGAAATTTTATTTTTGACAAATTTTGACCGCATAAATATTTTCAAAGTGACTGACTGTTGTGAATTAAAATATTACCATATCCCACAAAACTAATAAAATTTTTATACAATAGATAATTTAGATCAGCGGTCCCCAAAAACTACTCTAAATGGATGAAAATAGATTTTTTGGGGTAAAAAGAATATATTTTAAATTAACATTTACTGTATTTGCTATGTAGTAGTCCATACACTCAATCAGCTTCGGTATTATTTTAATTAAAATTTAATTTTGTTTTAATTATTAAAATTGCTAGAAAGAAGCAATTTTGTTTTTGTCATAGAGTTATATCATCTTATACAAAAATATTTTTGGGTAATGAATCCAAAAGCTCTCCGACCGCTGTTTTCACATTTTTTACCTTTTAATAAAATATATTTAGAGGCGTATAAATTTATACGGGAAATCAATAAAATTTTTCAACATTATTTTTGCTTCAGGATTTAAAATAAATGAATGTAAGCTTTGCTAATGTCTAGTAATAGCTAAAAAATATATTAATGCAATTATTCTGGCAATTTTCAAGAAGTACCTATTGTGACTCACTTATAAAAGCTCATTGCTCTTTAACAAATATTTGTAAAAATAAGCTTTTAAGTTCAATGAATAAATGATTAAAAAGCATATTCAATGATTAAAAATTTTAATAATATTTTAATTTGGATCAAATATTCCGAATCAAAATATTTCAAAGCATTATTTTAAACAACGTTGATTATTTCTCAAATAATTCAAGCGCTGTAATTCAAATAGAAATGCAAATACGAATTATTTACTATTGGACATACACGTTTAACCATTTCAGTTAAATACATATATACATCAATATTAAAAACTATTGGTGTATGGCATCGTGCCTTAAGGCAAATTGCTGGAACTTCCCGTAACGTAACGAAATGTTCGAGGAATATTAAATGTTTTCAAACAGATTATTATAAATATTGTAACATTGTCTAATATTTATAAGAATTATATAAACTAAATTGCATAGTTGAAATTGTTTGTTTGAAGTATATTGGAACAAAATTAAAATTAAAATTTGAATTATTTTCGATAAAAAAAAAATAAAAAATTTCGAAAAAAAAAATAAAAATTTGAAACAATTTTTTTTTCAAAAGTAATTATTTTGTTGAAACAAGCAGAAAGTTCTTTGAACCATTCAAATCAGGCACTTACAAGTAGTTCTTTTAAATACTGCAATTTTTTGCACATTTAGCTCTGTATCTTCGAAATGGCTGGACCTGCCCTTGCCAAAAACTAATTACCTCTTCTCCCAATCATTACAATTTGAATGTTTTTTTACATCATTCAATCATATCGGATTAATGTTTATTATTTCTTAATTTTGTAATAAGATTCCAATGGTTTTAAATTCTCTTTTTTTAGTACATAGTAATTTATTAACCAACTGGTAATTTATAGTCAATCTATTTCTAGAATGTTCTTTAAGATTGAGTCTATTGAATGCGATTTAAAAAAATTATATATCTTTTTCGTTATACTGAAGTTACTGTAAGACTATTATAAACATTAGCAATAATATCCGTTGGTCATCTTGTTAGACAATATGCATTAAGTTTTTTTTAAATTTTTTTAATAGTAATAATAATTATATAAGAAATGAAACAAAATAATAAATCGAACAAAATTATTCTTTAAAATTTAGCACTCAAAAATATATTATTACTCATACATAATGTAAGTATGTATTAAAATCTCAGTGTAGAAATAATTAATTACAATATTTGGAACGGCGAGCGCCACACAACTTGTTATATGAATTATAAAGACCTCGTGATTTATAGTCGCGGGAAATATGAATTTGCTTTATAGCCGATTGTACTAGCAATGCGATAAACAGTTTCTAATTATAAGTTCATTAAGGGCATTAGTTATGAGAATCAGTAACATGGCAAGTCACTATAAATTATATGTAAAAAGTAGATTTCATCGGCGTAGTGAATAATATTGAGATTGAAATTCTACTGGTCGAAATTAGGAGACAAAGATTCAACCATATGAATAGATCAATTTGCACTCTATATTATTTTATTTTATATATAGTAAATTAAAAAGTACCTTCTATGTACATAAAAATTATAACGTTTAAATAAAGAAATATTTCTGAAAAAGGGTTTTGCCATATTATATCATGGAAGAACAAGCTTTTCAAGAAAAAGCTCTAAGAGGTTCGCAGATTTGCTAATAAAATCGATATTTTAAGTGTGACCATTACAATATATGAAATATATTAAATACTCATGTAGTTGATTAAAGTAAAAAATAAAAATAATAAATTTTTTTTGAAACAATTAATTCTAAAGATCTACCTAATCAACATTCTTCTTTTTTATAATAAATGCTAAATTATAACCTTATTATAATCGAATCGTGTTTATTTTTATATTAAAAATACATGAAAAATATTTTCCCTAGTATAAAAATTCGTTTTTGAATTTAATTTCATTTTTTTACCCGCCACTGGTAGCATATTTTTTGACTTAACCATAGGTGCTAATGTGCATTTTTATTGATAATAATTAGTATAACATATTATAAGCACTTAAATTTTATTATAGACTACACGCACGTTTGGTTAATTGATAATCATCTAAGTCTTTAAAAGTAGAATTTCTACTTCTTACATTTCTTTCTCGATTTTTAAATTAATTTCAATGCGTGCGCTACCAGTATAAATTAACCGGAATGGGAACATGATTATAAGTTATAAATTAGTAGTCATTAAGAATACGAATCAAATTAAATACTAAAAAGAAAATAATAAAGCATAAGAATTAATTTACCTAGAATTTATATATCAATTAACCCATCAACTCTTCGCCCTTTATCAGTCTTAAGAAAGAGTTAATGGCAATTCTTAAGAATAATTTTGAGTACTGCCTAATCTTATCTCTGCTGAAAAAACGGTGCTTTTTATTTTATAAAATTTGAATGTATGAACCCGCCCATAATAGTCAGAAAAATCCCGGTGCAGAACGCTTCTATCAATGAGAGCAGATGATCAATTTTTTTCCTGATGTTCGGTCTAGGGTACTTCATATATACATGTGCAAGTATAATCCAATATGTACCACAAGGTTTAAAGTTAAAGCATTGGTGATCGAGATTTAGAAGAGCCACTAAACAAAATTTTATATCTTGAAAAATAAACTATATTTTATCAAGCGGTTTATCGGGGAGTAATGTGGCAACACATATTGTCATTGTGTGCGTAGTTGGATAGGAAGTAGAAAAACAAAAAAAGCACGTATAATGACACTTTTGAATTTGTAAAACAAGCAAAGATTCTAATACAATTTTGTACTTTTGATTTTTTTTTATTTTTTGACAATAATTTTATCAACATTGGTAATTAGCAATAATATTACGTTTTGTTTTAAGACTATTTTTGTTTGTAATTTTTCTTTTATATATTTTCGTTATATAAATATTACTTAAATTCTAATAGCAACAATTATTTATTCTTTGTGATTTTTTTTTGTACTGGTACTGAAAGTAAGACAAATCAAGACCCAAAATGATTGCAATTTTAATTATAATTACAACAACCAAATTTTATTGTAATAATTGGATGAAATTTATTGTAATAATTAGATGAAAAATACGTTTTGTTATTTTTTAATTTTATTAATATTTTAACCCAAGGCCCTCACCCTGAAGACAACTTCTAACTCAGGGTGCGTACGTACTCGTCAATATGGTACCTCTACTACTAGACCAAAAGACAGCTGTACGTCGATCGCGGTATATCGGTGGTAGGTACCTTACCGTTGCTTTTCTTCAATTCGAAATGGTACCAGGGTAATAGTCAGATAGCTAATAGGCTAATGAGCAATTAAGAAATAACACCATTATAAAATTTAATTATAACTTAAACATCAATTTTCTAATTGGCCAATAAGAACTTGGTAAGGACCGCCTTTATTTTTACCAACCCAAATTCACAAATATCACTTTGCAACAGTTCCTTAACAAATAAAATCACAACAGACCCGTGAAATAGGCATACTGAGAAAA